TAAAAAAATGTTATTGTATTTTTGATCAAATAAATGCAGCCTTGGTGAGCATAAGAGACTTTTATCAAACTAAAAAAATCTTACTGACCCCAAACTTTTGAACGGTATACTAAATAAAATTAGGCAGATTATAAACAATATGTAGTTTTAATAGTGTGTACATACAAAGGTACTTCAACCCTACCGACAGACATATTGAAGAACATATTTCCAAGGTTAGCAGTGAACTCACTGGCAAACAAGTTGTGTAATGGTCTATTCAAACACACACACACACACACATACACACACAGGGAGAAACACACAGTAGCAATAATACTGTGAGAAGGGCGACCTCATTTCTGATCACATGACTCTCACGAACACACATCTTTCAAGAAAACACCCACTTGCACAGACACACACCTTCATGTCATACACCCTTAATATGATCTATATTGAACTTGACATAACAATTAATAGTAGTTGTGTATTATTCCAGAATTGAATGTGGGAATTTCCTGAATAATAGGTCACTGAGCACTGGCAAACAAGTTGTGTAATGGTCTATTCAAACACACACACACACACACATACACACACAGGGAGAAACACACAGTAGCAATAATACTGTGAGAAGGGCGACCTCATTTCTGATCACATGACTCTCACGAACACACATCTTTCAAGAAAACACCCACTTGCACAGACACACACCTTCATGTCATACACCCTTAATATGATCTATATTGAACTTGACATAACAATTAATAGTAGTTGTGTATTATTCCAGAATTGAATGTGGGAAAAAGAAAGAAAGAAAGAAAGAAAGAAAGAAAGAAAGAAAGAAAGAAAGAAAGAATGATCACATCAGCCTCTTAAAATGTTGAAGACAGTTACAAAAGACTTTTTCAATAGAAAACACTATTATGATCCATTCTGCATCATTTTGAAAGTCCCAAACATCTATTGACTAGCACTGGAAAAGCCTCTTTCATTATAGTGAATCTGTTCATTTCCATCATTGACTTCAATGATAGGTTGAATCATCACTCATGTACAGTACAAAGAGAGTATTTGTCTAGTCATGTGATTTCAACATGGCAGCCCCCATGAGAAGAAAACACATATGTAACAAAACAACTGGTAACACTTTACAATAAGGTTCCATTAGTTAATGTATTAACTAACATGAACAAACAATGAACAATACATTTATTACACTATTTATTCATCTTTGTTAATGTTAATGAAAATACAGTTGTTCACTGTTAGTTCATGTTCACAGAGCATTAACTAATGTTAACAAGCACAACTTTTGATTTTAATAATGCATTAGTAAATGTTGAAATTAACATGAACTAAGATTAATAAATGCTGTAGAAGTATTGTTCATGCTTAGTTCATGTTAACTAAGAAGGTGACTAATGTTAAATAATGAACCTTACTGTAAAGTTACCAAACAACTTGATATGACTTAAGTCTTGTCTTGTATGTACATAATTTTAATCATTTTCAGCACAGTTTAAATATCACAATAGCACTCAAAAGGCTACCATTAATTTGATCAAATATATTTACAATATTGTGAAATATTATTAAATATTTAAGTTTTTGACTTTAATTTATGTTAAAATGTAATGTTGTGTTGGCAAAGCTGAATTTTCAGCATCATCACTCCAGTCTTCAGTGTCACATGATCCCTCAGAAATCATTTAAAAAATATGGGGCTCAACAAGCACTTATTATTATCAGTGTTGAAGCAGTTGTGCTGCTTAATATTTTTGTGGAATATGTGATACATTTTTTTCAGGATTCTTTGTCCTGTAACAATGTAAAAGTCTTTACTGTCACTTTTGATCAATGTGTCTTTGTTTAATAAACATATTAAGTATTTCTTTAAATAAATAAATAACAGTGTATAAACTGATAATTCAATAATTCAGCATCAACACTGTTCCATTTTGTTCTAACTCTCATTCTTATTTTACACTTGTGGAAATATGGCTGTAAGTGAGGTTTGGGTGTGCATGAGTGTGTGATCTGTCCTCTGACACACAGTGTTCTCAGCAGGGAACTGAAGCACTATATGGAGCCTCAAGCATGTATCAGCCTTTAACAGACAACCAATACAGCTCATAAACCAACACAAACACACTCAAGGAAATGTCAAATAATACAAAAGATATTTCTCTTCAGTTTTAAAAAATAAATAAAAAAGCTATAATTTTCATAAAACCCCAGTGAGACATGGATTTTGGTTTACTTTTATCCCACAAATATAACCCTTACAAAAATAAAATGAATGAAATAACTGAGTGTTTCAATAGAGCTATTACATGTAAAAAATTTGCAGTTTTTGTATAAATATTGCTATATGTATTTTTATATGCATCAATAGATAGCCACACGTGGTCCATGCACACATTGCAGTATATTGAAAATTATAAGAACTAGTTTCCAATATATAAAAATTTATTATTTAATATATTGCACACACACACAGGTTTGTTTTTATGGTTTATGGGGACTCTCCATAGGCGTAATGGTTTTTATACTGTACAAACCGTATTTTCTATTGCCCTACACCAACCCTACCCCTAAACCTACCCCTCACAGGAAACTTTCTGCATTTTTAGATTTTCAAAAAAACTCATTCTGAATTATTTATAAGCCTTTTGAATTACAGGGACACTGAAAATGTCCTCATAAATCACCTTCTCGTTGTAATACCTGTCATACCCATGTTATTATACAAATTTGTGTCCTCATAAACATGCACACACACACAATTATTTCCATAAATGTACTTGTTTACACCTGTTCTGGACACCTTAAACATCTGCTACTCATATATCACTGAATAATAGACAAATGCCCTGAAATCATATATTACTCAATTACAATCACCAAAGCAGTCATCTGCTGATGTGTTTCTGCTTTGAATGAATGAAAAACAATCCCACAACTGCGACAGATGCAGAACTTGCTGAAACAGCTGAATACTACAAGACAAACGCGCTTTTACAGGCAAGCAAATATGGTTACAAAGCAAGAGAGAAAGACAGAGATGATCAATCTCATAACTGATGATCACATGATCACATACATATAGAACAAAGCGTCTGAACAGATGGATAATGGGCTCTTCTCCACCTCTCCAACAAAATCACCCTCTTCATCTCCCCCTCGATGTGGGAGTCTCTCTCTCATTCTCTCTATCACCCCTTCCCCTCCCCCACACCACTCCTTCATGTTTGTGCATGTGAGCAATAGAGAGAGACTGACTATTACATGGCTTCCCTCATTAATGGTGTGGAGCGAAGCTCATTCATCACATTGTGTGGCTGTAAATTCTGCTATAGGGGCTCACCAGTGCGTGAGTGCTCACCATGGGACAACCCCCGGAAAAAAGCATTTAACTCTCTGAACTCTCACTGCCCAGTACACAACTGTAAAATTATAGTCATGCACCATTAGAAAGCCCATCTGCTCTAGCTAAGAGAAAATCCAGTTAACAGATATGTAAATTATAAAAAAATAATTATTTTACATTTAAAGACACTTAGCAGACACTTTTGTCCAAAGTCAGAGGAACAAAGAGCAAGAAACTGTTTTGACAATCTTTGTTTTGATCATCTTAAACAAAACATTAACCAAAATTAAAATTAACTATATTATTTTTACTATTCACTACCCAGAAAATCCATGAAAACAGTTAACAGCTGTAAATAAAATATGCCCATAGACAATTGTTTTAATACATTTTCACTAAATGTACATTTAAAAAAAAGAAAATTAACTATATTTTACATTATTTTACTATAGTTTTCACACATTTATGATATATTTACAATAGTATAATACTTTGCGTATTTAAGGAATAAAATAATTGTGATAAATCTCATGATATGCAGTCATCTTTTGAAAGAAGAAAAAACGAAACAGCAATAATATCAAATTTGGTTTGTGCGTTAGCATTATTGCATGAAACATATTTAAAATGTTAAATAATTTTGAAAGCAAATTTTTGCTTCACTGTGTGTTTTGGCTTTAACTGTGACTGTATTCACAATGTTAAAATAGCATTATATATGAGACTATACTATAATGCATTATAAAGGAAATAGCAAACCATATCTTTATTAATCTTTCACAAAGCATGAATAAATATTAATTATATTTTTATAACTGTGAGCTGAAATTGTTCTGCTTATATAAAAGGTTAAAACGCACAAAACCAGACAGAAAAAACTACATTGTCCTTATCTATGGCATCTGTTATCCATTGTTCGTCTCTTAAAACTGGATTTTTCTCATCTGTTCAAAGGCAACTGTGAATATCAACAAATGGTCAGCAAGTTAATTCAAATGTCCTTGAGGATCCAATAGCTTCACTTCTCCATGACTGAGTTCTGTACCAGGATACACCGTCCTGGAGCACAAGAGTGAAAACAGCTAACCTTCATACATTCTGGTTTAAAATATCACACAGCAGCAACATAAGAACAAATAGGAACCGCAGAGGTACCGCTGAAGAAGATCTGTCTGGGTGTGGTGAATATAGGCTTTGTGTATGTGTGTGTTGTGTCTTTATGATAAGAAATGATAGACAGTTAACACAGCTAACATCTGCATGCTTCATTCCATCACTCTCTACAGAACAAACATCAATACATCAGTATGTAATGTATAATGCACGAGTGTCTGCGCGTGCACACACACGTTTCAGAGGACAGTAAAATCTCTCAGAACATGCGGCAGTGTAATGCTCTCATTTTTAACCTGAATGCAGAACAAGAGACACACACGTCATGGCTGGTTGTTTATGGGACATATGTGTGTGATTATGTGAGAAGGATGCCGAGCGGTAAATGTGAAGTGTAACCTTGGCATTGCAGCACAGATTTAACACACACACGCTGAACTCACTAGCAGTAACAGGCAAGATGTTGCCATCCCACAAACCCGATCACTCTCCCTCTAATAACATGTATGTGTGCGTGTGTATTCCCATGTACCTTTTTCTTTTGATCCTTTGATTGTTTCTTGCTCTTCCTCCTCCTTTCCTTTTCATCCTCCAATGCGTTAACATCCACATCTTTATTCTTCTTAATCTGAGACGCCGCATGAGCCATTATCCAGCATCAGCCACGTCCCCACAGCAACCACACGCACACACACACACACTCTCACACACACAAACACACTGAGACAAATGTCCAGAATATGTAACAAGAATTCCAATTCCTTAAAAGATTCCAAAAAATTCCACCAAAAAGAGTGGAAGAGAGGGATTCTGTCCAGAAAAGAAAAATGAAAAAAAAATCAACTACTCCGTTTGCTCTCCTCCAGCTTTTGTCATTGGCTGCTCAAGGAACCATATCCAGAGAGAAGAAGATACAGAGAAAGAAAGAAAGAGGGTGGGAGAGAGAAAGAGAGATGGATGGTGACACCATCATCACCAGGCACAAGTGAACGACTGAAGGAGAGAAAGAAAGAGAGAGAGAGGGGTGGAGGAGGGCAGCTGGGGTGGTTACTACGGAAACCACGTTCTCTCCTCAGCCATACTCAAACGGTCCTACCTGAACGTGTACGTGTCGCCGCAACAACCAGCATCAGTGTGTGTGTGAGTGTGAATATATGCGCATATGTGTTGCCCCCCACCAGCACCGTGTGTGTGTGTGTGTGTGTGTGTGTGTGTGTGTGTGCATGGTGGTTGTAGGGGAGGGGTGTCGCACAATTTAGCTCAAGCATGTGCGATCTCTCGCTCACACACACACACACACACACACACATAATTTGATGTGAGGGAGGGTACCACTACTACTCCAATCCCATTATGTTAAGAGCTGACCCACTCTAAATAGAGGAGGTGGTATATTTATGCATATTTTAGGGCATACAAACTTAGATATGAACACAATATTTTGTGTATTGGTAATGTATAATTATATTTAGATTATATTTTTGGGGATTTGGGGTGAATTCATGTTTAAGGACAAAAAAAACAATGTGGTCATAAAGCCCAGTGTGTTTCCCATAGGGAAACATGAGAGATGAATGAATATGAGTGAAAAATTATCGTGGTTCACACACGCAACAGCTCTCGGCTTCTTTCTGATGTCATTGACATTCTGAGTATGGAGTGATGGCAGCCATGTTGGTTTCTCCTGCATATCAGCAATCAGCCACCTGAGTGCAGCAGGGTCCTCTGCAACTCTAAGACTGCCTCAGTCACTGCCTGTACAAAAACACCCTGTACTTAATGTTGTATTTGTGTGACAAAAATGAGAGAATGAAAAATACAAATGACAATCCATTCCATTCCATTTCAGTGGATGACACAGTGTATTAACTAGAAAATGCTAGACATGTAGCAATGTCTTAAAGGGAAAGTTCATTCAAAAATAGCAATTGTCATAATTTACTCACCTTCAAGTAAGACCTTCAGGTCTTTTCAAACCTGAGTCACTTTCTTTCTGCCATAGAACAACAAAGGGCAATGTTAGGCAGAATGGTCACATTGCTCTTCTGAATAACAAATAAGCAAGCACAATGTACAATATTATATTTAAAAAATATATGAAATAGAGTAGCATGAACACTCTACCTAACTTCTCCTTTTTTCGTGTTCCACAGAAGAACCTCAGGATGGTGAATAAATGATGAGTTTTTGTTTTGGGGTATACTAACCCTTTAATCACGTATACCTAATACAGGTCTTCACACGCTGCAGCTCATGAGTCATATTTAGCTTGTATGAATTGTTCAGAAAATAATTTTAAAAAACTGCAAAAATAATGTTTTTACTACGTCTTTACTACAATTTATACAAAGAAAAAATTATGGTCTGCATATAAATCACTATCCATTTAATAAATACAATTAGCATTTATTGGTATTTATTATTTAATAGAAGCAACTAGATATTTCACAAAAAGATGATGATGGTCTCCTCACAAATAATATAAATCAAAATAAAAGCCATGAGCCATTATCAAGCATCAGCCACTTCCCCACAGCAACCATACACACAAACACAGCCAAACACAATAATATAAATATAACTAAAATACATAAATATGAAATACATTCTATTTAATAAACACCATTAGGGAGATGCATTATTATTATTATTATTATTCAAATAGCACATGCATATAAATAATATTACATACACTTTATGATTCAAATGTAAAATTATACCATTCTATTTAATAAACACCATTAGGGAGATGCATTATTATTATTATTATTATTATTATTATTCAAATAGCACATGCATATAAATAATATTACATACACTTTATGATTCAAATGTAAAATTATACATTTTTTTTTGGAAAAATAGTATTTAATTTATACTATTTTTGTGACCATCATCTTAATTTTGTTATTTGTACTCATTTGGATCTATGTATATTTTTGAAAAAAGGCATCAGATGAAAAAGCTTGGTGTGAAAACAAACTCTCTTCCTATAATACTTCTCTACATTTTCTTAAAGTCCTGATTAGTCTGGTCTGTTTTGGCTCACTCTTACCCTGGCCCAGTTCCCTTTGCTCTGGATCCATTATTACTGCCACAAACACAGCCGAAAAGGGTCCATTTACCCATCCATCAGACTGGGCAAACAGCCAAACACATGTACTACCCCTGTCTGGGAACACTGTATAAAAACAAAAGAAGTACGGTAAAAACACACACACGAACCCAGCAACCCCTACTCTTAAAAGTCCAACCATTCATCAAAACTATGAGAATTACCACATGATTGGTTGTAAAGATGCCAGCACTACTAGACCATAAGAGCTGATCACAGCAGATCAGAGTCCAAACGATTCCTGAAAAGCTGATTCAGAAATCATTCGCACACTAGGGGAGAGCTTGTGCTCACGTAGTCACGGTTTCCTTCCTCCCTCGGGACAGCGTGCACATTCCCAGCTCACCCGTATCACCAAAGAGACCATTTCCACCCCATCACACCTTGAGGAATTACTCAAGATGCATGTGTGCTGAGTTGTTGAACACAGTGACTTCTCCCGTCATGCACACGCAGAAACACCCTCCGTCTCCACCAACAGTGACCAGTCCAGCCGTCAATTCAAACTGACCGAGACAATAGTCAAAACAGCCGGACCAGTCAGATCAGGTAGCTGAACCCATCAAACCAGATATTGTCAGACCAGACAAACAAAACAATAGCTGTCTAAAAAAACAATTTCCACACAATATTGAAAACAGTATGTCAATATATGTGTGGAAGTGCTGATAAATCAGAGTGCAGACATACTGTAAAGACCATGAACTCGAAACAGTCTTTAGTACAAAACTGCCAGATTATGAAGAGGAACAAGGTGCATGTTGTGTTGAAATCAAGGGGTCAAAGTTAGCAACTTTCTCTATTGATGGCCATTCAAACATAGATGTGTATTCTGATTATATATACAACATACATTACCATTCCATGTTGGGGTTGGTAAGATTTTTTCTATGTTTTTGAAAGAAATCACTTGTGTTTCTTAAAACACAAAATAAAAAAACATTAAAACAGTAATAATGAGTGATATATTATTACAATTTAAAATAACTGTTTTCTATTTGAATATATTTTAAAATGTAATTTATTTCTGTGATGGCAAAGATGAATTTTCAGCAGTCATTACTCCAGTCTTCAGTGTCACATGATCCTTCAGAAATCATTCTAATATGATGATTTGGTGCTCAATAAACATTTCTTACTATCAGTATTTAAAACAGTTGTGCTGCTTAATATTTTTGTGGACACTGTGATTTTTTCAGGATTCTTTGATGAACAGAAAGTTCCAAAAATCTTTTGTAACAATGTAAATGTACTGTCACGTTTGATTAATTTAATGTATCCTTTTGATGAATAAAAGTATTAATTTCTTTTAAAAAGAAATTAATAAGAAACACTTTTGAACGGTAGTGTAAATCTCAATTTTTTTATTTATTAGATGTATTTTTTGTGAACATTAATGGGACTGTTTTCATTTTTGTGGACACTGTGATTTTTTCAGGATTCTTTGATGAACAGAAAGTTCCAAAAATCTTTTATAACAATGTAAATGTACTGTCACGTTTGATTAATTTAATGTATCCTTTTGATGAATAAAAGTATTAATTTCTTTTAAAAAATAAATTAATTAGAAACACTTTTGAACAGTAGTGTAAATCTCAATTTTTTTATTTATTAGATGTATTTTTTGTGAACATTAATGGGACTGTTTTTCCCTCTCTGCTGCCTTCGATGTCACAGCTGAGGACAGTCGCTATGAACATAGACCATGCCATTTAAAGAAGAAATAGAAACTCACCAGGCAATGGCCAGTAACTTGCCAAAGCCAAATTTACTTGCCAAAATGATAATTTTGAACCCTGGCTTAGGGCCATTGTCGAGGTGGATATCCGGGAACGTTATCCTGGACCGTGTGTCGTCTGGTTGGCATTTGCGAAACATTTGTGCCCTTTATGGCATTGCATATTTACTGGGCCCAGAGAAAATATGGCCCTCCTATAAAATTCTGTCCTGGCTGCTGTGAATTTGAGTTGCGATCCTGCCCTCAGTCCACATTTAGACACAATCAAGCAGGGTTCCTCAAATCCATTCCACGGTTCCTCAAATCCAAATCCAACCCTGATCAAACTCACCTACATGTGATTTTCTAGTGATCCATAAGACCGTGATTAGCTTGTGTTTGATCAGGGTTGGAGCAAAACTCTGCAGGGCAGCGGCCCTCCAGGATATTATTTGATTCCTTTCAAATTTTCACAAAGAGCAGCTTTAAATTCCCATCTGAACACTGAAAACAATAAACAAATACATATCAATTTTACTGCTTATATGATGCACAACACATTCAGTATATGAACGCAAGTAAATTCCATAAACTGTCGTGCATTCTGCAATATTCACATCTGAGGCTGATCCTTGTACTTAAAGTGGTGCTCTACTGCTCTCTTGTGGTTTGACAGAGAAACTGAAGCAAAGTAAAAAAACGAAACTATGCATAGACATATTCTAAATAAAGAACAAAACTAAAAAATATATATACACAAAAGGAAGAAATGTGTGTTGCTTTAGGCAGTCAAAAGCAATACATTGATATTCACATGTACAACAGCCTCTTTTTTAAATGAATAACAAAAAATAAAGGCCTATTTGAAATATTGCACTTTGGTCCTCTCACTAAAGAATAAAACACTAATATACATATTTAAACATATTTAAAAAATGTCCACCTTTCATACAGATGATAAACCCAGATATAATGTACAATGCATTAAATCATTAAATAAGAAAGAACTAATGCTGTCAAAGCATGTAAAGTGTTTGTTGTAGAGTAGACATGCCTCTAAATCTCACCAGCCAATCACAGCATTTGTCTAAAGCCCACAGGCAGTAATCTGAAAACCTGCTAGGACATGCGTTTAAACTGT